ATTAAATTAAACTTATTGTCATCATCAATTTTGATTTCTCAAATCATTTAGGCCTTCAATTTCTGATCAGACTTCAAATTTCCATCAATTAAATTACATATTCAAATTAGACACCTCATAAGTAAATTTAATTCGTAATAATCACAATTCTCACCCTTCATAACTTAATTAACTTAATTAACTCCAATTCGGACCTAATTAATCGAATCTCAATTTTACTAAACTGAATCGAATATTTAATTAAACTCCCAAATGGGTCCGTAATTAAAATTAAATTGATTCAACTTCTTAATTTCACTTCCTTAAGCTGTTTGGACCCTTAATTTTTAATTTCAAAATAAATCTTTAATAGAATCATATATGAATCAGATTCCACAATTCTCATAAATCCTAAATTAAATTAGGATAACAACTAATTAAAATCTCAAATCTCAAATCTCCTTAATTAACCAAATAAAATATTATACGTGGCGGGGTCATCACAACTTATAAGGTAGAAATAACTTGAATAAGCTAAAAAAAGTTGATTATCCAGAAGTTCGGAGAAGGGTGCTTTTGACTTTCTGCTTTCTAATTATCAACTTTTAACTTATAATAAACTGCACCAAACAGGCCATAAGGATTTTAATAGGTGAGGGACTGCCTTTTGTCAACTTGGAATGAAGGGACCAAAACAAGGTAATACACAATATACCAATGAGTATTTCGGTCATTTGGTCACACTTGGGACTTCACAAAGCTAAAAACTTGAGGTGAAACTTAGGCCTCGTTTGGAAACTTAACTATTTTAGTTGACTTTTTAGCCATTTTTTAAGATTAAAAAAAGAAAAATTGAGTTTGGAATGATTTGTAGTTTTTTTTTTTTTTTTTTTTTTTTTTTTTTGTTTTTTGATAGTTGAATAGATGATTGTGAGAAAAAAAGTAATTGATTGATGTGTAAGATGTTACATTTTGTCTAATTGACTATTTTAACTTTTTTTTCTGTATTGGCTATTTTAGCCAAAAAAGTTGTTCCGAAATAGGGCCTTAATGTTATATAAGTACATTATATAAGACCTTCGTTTAAAATCCCAAAAAACACATTAAAAAATGTTAATATTCACAATTGCGTTTTTCTCCTTTAACCTCAAGATGAGTTTGAATACCATTACTAGAAAAAATAGTAACTATAAGATAAAGTGCGATACGGGCCATTCCATGTACCATATTGCTTTGTCGTATAAAATGGCAACATTGGCGGCCAAAGGGTTGCGAGAGCAAGACAAAAAATCAATCAATCTACCACAAATTCCTTTATTTTAATAGATATCCTTTTTGTCCAACCTAGAATCAAATCTATGCCTTTATGTTGGGTGTCTTTTATTTCTCCTAGTTATCAACCGAAGACGTGTCTTGTTGTCTGCATCTACTACTTCTATCTCAAGAACACATTCTCCAGAGGGGGCCCTCTTCCTTAGGAGTCATTTCTATTAGCAATGGACTGCCTTCTTGAGATTGTTAGCAGTCTCAACATTCCTTTTCTTTACCAGCACGATGTCGTCAAATAAAAGGAAATGTCTTTTCTTGCCATTCCTCATTCTCAAACTTCTTCTTGTGAGGGCTTGAGCCATGGAAGTGGATAAAAAAACTTTTCTTAGACATTGTTTTTCTTCTTCCTAAGCCTACACTGCAAGGTGAGACAAAAGAGAAAAAACGGGAAGGCCTTCTTATTTTGAGGAGAGTACCAAGTAATAAAGAGCTTGCTAGTGAAGGTCTCAGAGCAAGGAGAATAGAACAATCAACAGAAGAGAAGAGAAGAGGTCCATGATCACAGATGTAAGAAGGTGAATCAGTAATCACTCATGCCACAACTAATGCTAATGAATCCTCCTACAATAACAAGGCAAGTTAAAAAGAAGAGATATTGATGAGTCAGAGTACTTCCCTGATAGAGCAAGTAGAGCACTACCTAAACTAAACATTAGAGGTGTTTTTGCTCCATTCACTTCCGTTTCAAAGTTAAGGACAAGCACCCCTACAGGCTAACTCCCAACTCATGGAGATGACTCCGCCTTACATCATCATCCAAAAGCTCAAACATGCCAACAGCATTCCGTTCATTTACGCAATATTTACTCGTATACTTGTTAGCTACTGCTGTTCCACACCCTCGCTTTCAAGGAATCTAAGGAAAGAACGTAATAAGTGGTGAACAAAGTTTACTCGCTCCTTAGAGGAAATAAAAATTGCCTCTACCACCAAGAGAGGAAGTGAATAGTTGGCTCGAAGAGGGAAGAGATGCGCCTACTTGCTTTGCTAGAAAGTTAAGTGACTAGTTTACTGTTCAGAGGGAAAAAAAAAAGAAAAAAAAAAAAGAGAGGATAGATAAGCTAAAGTGGGCTTAAGTGCTAGCTAGTGTTAAAGAGCTTGTTGGATGACGGCAGAGCGAGCAGACTAGGCTAACTCCCACTTCAGTATTCCAGTTTACAGAAGGCAAATGACTGGCTTGTTTGTCTAGTCCCACCTCTTCATCCTAAGCTCTTTTCATCCATACACAAGCATCCTCTTCTCTCTAACAAATAAGTCAACTACCCTATCTAATTAGCAAAGCTAGAGTACATTAGTAGACTACTTTCTTAGTTAGATAATTGTATTGATAAAACTAAAATAAACCTTTTCTCCCGGAAGTCTAGGTTGCTACTCTTCAAGTTAGAGAAGAACTTCCACAATTTGGGGACTGGATTCCAGAGAATTCAGTCTCTTGGGCCAGGCTCTATTGGGCAGAGGATCACCTTTCTTTACTCGATGAGCAGGAAACAAGACACTTACACACTTAATTAGAGAGGTGAACCAGCATCAATTCTGAACCAGAAACAAACCCTTACTTTTCATATGATTAGATTAGACCATAGTTAGATGAACCAAATTGATCCAAAACAGTCTGGCTTGCATGTGTGTGATAGGGGCTTACTTTTGATAAACGAGTTAAAGATAGTGATGAAAGAGGGAGCGCCACTTTGAAAGGTCCTTTGAACTAAATATGCAACCATAGCTCTCTTCTACCGCCAATGCAAAAAGAACCAACTTTACTGCTAAGTGCCTACAACGGGAGTATTAGACTTCAAAGCTTAAAAGAGCTTGACGGATGGATTCTTTTTTCCCAAGAGCTAAATCACCCAAGCAACAAAAGGAATATTCTCTAAACCAATTGCGCTAGAAGTATAACTTTCCAAGAAATTGACATCTGTCTTTTCTGAAAAACAAAGTGGATTTCTTCTCTAAGCAAAGCTACCCTCCCTAAGCTTTAAAAAATGGGGCTAACCTGACAAACCTACCTCTTTCTACAAGCGCTGGAACTTGAGTATTGAAACTGATCTACTAGCTTCCTTCGGTTCCTTCTCTAGTTTGGTTGCAGGTTCAACTCCATTGAAATCTTAACTTACAGTCGTTCCTTCCTTCACTTACAAACCTAGAGGGAAAATCATGATCCCATCCCTTCAACTATCAGTCCATTAACTAAGAAGGGGGCCCAGAACAAAAACATCACCATCTTCCCCAGAACCCCCTACGTTGACACTTTTTAAAAGGGAAGTTGAATATTTGTTTTTCTTTGGCACCATCCCTGGTTCATACCAGGAGGTGTTCAGAAGTGTATAATCATTCTTGCACGATGCAGCCACAAAAGAAAAAAAAAATCCTATTTTTTAGGAAGAAACAAACTCTTTCCTATTTTATATTTTTTAAACGTGCACCATCTTGAAAGTGAGGAGTTTGGCACGTTTGAAAACATATAGGTTGAATGCTAATTTTGTCGCTGAAACCAAAGCCCAAGTAAGCCACCCGCTTTTTTTTTTTTTTGACAAACAAAAAAGATTGCATTATTAAAAACTAAGAAGTTACATATTGGCGGTACTCAACACCCCTAACATCTTCAAATAATTGGAATGAAATACAACCCAGAATAGTAGAAAAAGCAGTGAAGGACCATTTTGGTTAAAACCTTCTATTCATAATATGCCCGCACACTTGTTTCCCTCGCGATTGTTGTCCATGGACTATGACAATTTTTTGAGAGAATGATGCCAACCATAGACATATTCCAAATCCAAGTTGTTTAAAAAAAAAAAATAAATTAACAAACAAAAAGTCTGATTCCAAAACCCTCACTCATCACAAAATTAGGTTCACCTAGATGAATTATGTTCCTCAAATCCAAACTATGAATCAGCTTGAACGTGTTACGGAAGAGCAAGAGTGAACCACAATATTTTATCTGCTCAGGACACACATCAGTTTTGTGCTGTAACATTGTCAAACTTGACCCTTATATATGAAACTAGGTCACAATTTGACTAGACAAACCCTTCATCTGGTAAATCAAAATCTACTTAAAATGAAGTTTCTAGACCTCAAAACATTGAAGGAACCACCGCGACTTAAGCAACCAGGCTAGTTGCCATAACACCTGAAGAAAGAGGAATGTCTTACCAATACCCATACCATACAAGCTTACTACAAAATGTATTCAGGAGGCACCTACCAGCTTGCAAGAGTAAAGCACAAAAACGAAGACAAAAAAAAGGAAATAATTTACAGGGAAATAAAATAAAAAGAACAAGAACTGAGGAGCCTCAAAATACGTGCATGATGTCTTTATATGCTTGAATAGACAAGTTGATATGATTCTTGCTATTGTCTCACCATAAGATTGCAATATGAACTCAGATACAATGTTGAATTATTGGTCATCAACTCATCTAAAAGCTTAGAGAGAGGGCTAACTTACTTTATCCTCAATGGTCCAATTATGCACAAAGTTTTCTACACAGACTCACATTCAAAATTTTGGTAGCCAAGAACATTAAACATCAAAGGAATGGGATCCGTACTTTAACTAAACATTATTGGATCAAGTCAACAAACATTCAAAGCTGAACATGCTTATATCTCATAATTCTTCATCATCAAAGACAACTATATTCCTTGGTGACTCTACATGTTCAGTAATGATAAACTTACTCTTAATTCTCCAGGTTGGCTGCAATATCTTTAAGCATTTCCTTCAACTCGCCAGTCTACAAAACAGACCAAACCATTAAAGCAATGTATACCAGACTAAAGAATAACAAATTTGGTATGAGAATACCTGGTGCATGTTGAGAATGATGTCTGATCCTCCAACAAACTCCCCTTGATGAATATCTGTGGAAACGTGGGCCAGTTGCTGCAATGAAAGACCATGGGACAAATTGAAACAATTGGAAACTAGACATTTGTTTATCAACATTTTGGACCAAAATGGCTGCTAAGTAGAGACCAACAGCAACTCCGTTTGAAAATGTTGTTTCTCAGTAATTTGCATCAATTAACCAAGAGTCATGACAACTGAGCTTAATAGCTTATTCTCACAAATGATCCCAACAACATGTGCGACGGACAAACAAGCAACCTTGTGGATATATATATGACGCAACCACATCCCGAAAATTTCAATCAAGACTTGGCCACATATGTAAAACAACAAATGAAGTACCATTAAAAAAAGAAGGGCAAATTACAAGGACCTTCCCTAACTATTGCCCAAATAACAACAGGCCCAATGGTATGGAGAAATGAGACTGGCATCCCCTAATGCGCCTCAAAAGTTAACTCCATTAATAGAAAATGTGAAGTGATAAAAATGCCCTCTCTATGGGTGTAATTTTGGCCCGGCCCGAGTCAGCCAGCCATCAAGCTCCTGAAAAAAATCGGGTCAAGCCACTTGTGCAAAATCTAGGCCTAGTGGGTAATTGGGCCTAAAGAGGGCTTGGTTTTTTTTTAGTCTTTTTTTTTTAAATCAAAAATAGCTTAAAAATTAAGTTAGGCGTCGCACGGGCCGGGCCTCGGATTGGGCCAATGGGCCTTGGGCTAGGCCGGGCCAAAAAACCCATGGCCCATGCCCTAGCACGAGGGGATATGGGCAGGCCTGGTCGGGCCTCGGGCCGACAAGCCATTTTTACACCCTACCTCTCTCCATCTTTCTCACCTTCCTCCACTACACTCCTCTACCCTCTCCTCCACCTTACCTCATCCTTCAATTCCCCCTATAACAATCCAACACCGACCACTACCACCACACACAAAGAACAACAAAATCAAAAGTCAATACAATACACAACATAATCAGGCTAAAAAATAAACTCTACCCTTGATTCATCAAACACCCTCTCCGTCTCCCCTAAATTAAGGGGATTTTTGGTGAAAAGCCCCTCCTATTGGGCCTATTTTGTGTGAAGCCCACGGAATTAAACAATGACTCCAAAAGCCCCTCAATTAAAAAAATGTCATGAATTGACTGAAATGTCCTTCTATATAAGTGTGGAAATATTAAACAATTAACAGTAAAAATTTACTATCAATTAAAGTAAAATTTTACTGTCACTATCAAAGTAAAATTTTACTGTCACCACAAATCCAAAAGTCAATTTGTGTTGATAAAATTTTGTTGTGGTTTAGTGTAACATTGTACTATATTTTAGAGTTAATTTTTACTATTAGGTTTGCCAAAGATTGACAACTCATACAGTGTGTCACCAACACAACTTGAGACATGAATGTAAAAGTAAAATTTTACTCTGCATAAAAGTAAAATTTTACTCTGAAATAAGAATAAAATGTTATACTCTGAATCTAAGAGTAAAATGTTACACCCTGAATTTAAAAGTAAAATTTTACTCCGTATAAAAGTAAAAGTTTACTCTGAATAAGAGTAAAATGTTATACTCTGAAACTAAAAGTAAAATTTTACTCTATATAAAAGTAAAATTTTACTCTGAAAAATTAGTAAAATGTTAGACTCTGCACAAAAGTAAAATTTTACTTTATATAAAAGTAAAATTTTACTATGAAAAACGAGTAAAATGTTAGACTCTGAATCTAAAAGTAAAATGTTACTCTGCACAAAAGTAAAAAAACAGAAGCAGTGTTTGTGGCAGCTGAAGTGTTTGGCAATGACCACCTCTTAACAGTAAAATTTTACTGTCATTCTAACACCAAAGTAAAATTTTACTCTAATTCTCTGAAACAAAAAACAGAGCAATAGAACCAGAGTAAAATTTTACTCTCATTATTTGAAACAAAAAACAGAGCAATAGAACCAGAGTAAAATTTTATTCTGGTTCTGTCAAATGAAATCAGATCAAAAACAACAAAAATAAATCCAAAAAAAAAAAAAAAAAACGAACAAACAAAAACAAAACAAAACAAATTAATCAACATATCTAATTGAGAAGAAAAACTTCTAAAACTCGATTAACAATCACAAATCTCAATGAAACTCTCATTTAATTGAGAGTGTTGATCGTCAGCGGCGAGATCGTCTATTGTTGACCAAGTGAGAGATCTTTGGCTGCGAGATCTTTAGATTTGGAGATCGTCTTCATCGATTTCGTTCCTGATTTCATTCATGCGAGATCTTCAGCTCAGATTTTAAATATTTCAAATGTATGATACGTATATATAGAAGGGCAATATTGTGATAAAAAAAAATAGAAATTATAAAATGTCCTTATTAAGGTAGGCATTTCCTACTCAGGGGCTTTTTGAAAGAAAATTGATTGGGTTATCCTTTACCCTAATAAAAAGGCCCAAAAGGGAGGTTTCACCAAAATTCCCTAAATTAAGCCCCCAACAAAACAAAAAAAAAAATTCATAAAGCAATCAAGGAAAAAAAAACACAAATCAAACGTGTTCAGTTGATAAAGGAATGGGGGACTTTGGAGTTGAAAGGCGTTGGATCATGGCACTCTATGAAGCACGGGTACGGGTATGGGTACGAGTACGAGTACGAGTATTGGTACTGGTACGATACAGATACGTCGATAAGGTAAAATCTAAAAAAAGTAGGGTACGGGTATGGCTTGGTACGTTTGTAAAAAAATATTTATTTTTAATTTAGAGTAATGCAAAAATTAATTAAATGGTTTAATTTGTTAAGATTTAACCTACAATTAACATTTAATGCCAAAAGTAAAGGTATAAATCAAAATTAAATGTCAATATATTAAATAACTTACAAACCAAAAACATGCTAAGTATAAAACTAAAAATAAAAAAGAAGCCTAGTGAAAGGAGTTTCATCTATGTAGTAGAACAAAATATTGTTTCAATTGAGGTATGGTACGACTTGGGTATATAATAGATACGTCTAGGTACACCAAAAATTAAGAAGAAAAAATGTGGATACGTGTTTCGTGTACTCGGTATGTATGCAGAAGTATCATATGAGGTACCATACGCCGATAATTACCTGGTACTGGTTCGGCATATTTTTCAAAGTACCCATGCTTCATAGATGGCACTGGAGTTGGGGTCGCAGCTAGGATTGTACTAGAGGCGGCATTGGAGGGCCATAGAAGGCAATGGGGTTTGACGTGGAGGCCACTGGTGATCATCATTGACATGAACCTAGAGCCAAGCTATATATCTCTTGTTTGTGTTTGGGCGAGAAGGTTGGGTGGCAAGCAGGTTGAGGTGAGAGGTTGGTGGCGGCACAATGGAATTGAGGGAATGAAAGGTATGGTCTTTGGGGAGCTGAGGCAATGGCATGAGGGAAGGGATCGTTGGGGGCAGTGGGATGGGGTGGGAGGCGGCCGTGGCATGGTGAGTGGTGGCAAAGTCTAAGAGGCGAAGGGGGAACACAAAGAGAGGGGGAATGGATAGGGGAAAAGAGTAAGAGTGAATAAAGGTAAACTAGTAAAGGTTAAAGAGTTGACCTATTTCTTGAAGGGTAAAAATAGAAAATTTAATCCAAAAATTATCGACACCATAATATTCCATCCATCTCTCTTTCTTGACACCTAACGATGAGGCACTCAATTATATGCCTACTCAAATGTTAGGGGAGTCAGTGTCATTGTCCTATGCTAATGGGATCAGCTATCTATGAAGCAGTGACACTTCAAAACAAGTGTTGTAGTCGTGTCCATTTTTTTTAGGGTACACAACAGGGGTGCATGTAAACACGGCGAGAGACATGTTAGACATGATGGGACACGATTCGGGACATGACAAGTCTTATTTTAATTTTTCAAAGCTAATTTCTAGGGTCATATTATAATATTTGGAAACAAAATGATTGGTTTTTTAAAAAAATATATAAATCATATGAAATCATCGGCAATGTAACACACATCTAAAACACATTTGTGAAGTGGAGAAACAACCTTCCAACAATCCTTGGAGCCTAATGGAACACAGATTTAGGGATTGTTTGGACAGTGCTACATTAGTATACTTTTTGACTTTTTACGAAAAAATATGAAATGTGGGTTGGGGTTGAAGTGATGTAGTAGAGAGGTAATGTGATCCAAATAAGAGGCGATGTGACCCAAATAAGATAATTGTTTAACACATGCCAAACAAAGCCTTAGTCTCTGGTTAATTAAAATTTAGTTTTTTTTATATTAAATTAGTGTTGGTTTTTATTAATTCTAGTTGTTTATGAAAGTAATATTTACATACATAGCAAATAAAATATTTTTTTTACATATCCCCCCACTGTATCCATGTCCTGAATTTTTTGAAATTAATGTGTCCCCTGGCCTGTGTCCGTACTTCCGAGGCAGTTGTAGTTTGGGCAGTTGTTAGGGAACGTCCGTGTAATTTTCCCAACAGAAAAACATATACCTTCATCAATAAGGCAACAAGGAAAATTACTATAAAAGTAAACTGTTGAAATGGAAATAAATTTGATAAATGAAAAACTACCTGAACCCACCAACTTTTGAAAATATTCTGGCATGGCCATGTATCCTTTAGCCACTGTTGGATGGAGCATTCAATTAGATAAATTGTATTCTCACTTGAAATAACTGCTATTCAAATACATCATTTGGAAATTCATTTTAAGTTCCACACCATGTTAATTTTAGAATAAATATACTCTATTTTTATGATATCATGTTCTTAAAACAAGTTCTCTGCCTACTTTCCATTTTTTTTTTTTTTTAACATTGATCTCCTGAGGTGTCTACGGGGGAGGTCCATGTAATTTGCCCAAAAGATAAGGAAACAACAAGAAACATTAAGTCTCACATTAAAAAATTATTCACAAACACCAGCTACTTTTATTGCAAGGGGGCAATTGAAACGATGTAATCTATGCACTAGCTCAGTTCTTGAAACATCAAGAAAACAAAATGCAAAAACAGAACACGCAGTCATACACCTTGAAGAACTTATACAATTTTGCAACCATTGCCCCTGATGCAACTCATATCTCCCAATAAACAATAATGTCAATTATTACAGTAATTTGAGTTCATCCTGTATTATTAAGAATTGCCAATAGGAGGGTGCTTTATATCTGAGAAGCGGGCTCTTGCTGCTCTCTAGATGTGTAACAATGCTAAATGGATGTTCTAGAGAACGATATCAAGTACTACGTTACCTGAATGATTTGACAGCATTCTTAAGCTCAGGGTCTTCCAATATGTTTCAGGCACTCAAAGGAACATCTGAAAAAAGCATATCAACAGTAGAATGCCACAAACAACTTAATGTAGTCAAGTCGGCAAGGTGCAAGACCCAGCTCAAAGTTCAAGAAGTATGACACTAAATAAAATTCCAGCTACAAAATTAGCTCCAGTCAGCTCCTCTTTTAGAGCTTCCATTGTCTCATCTTCTTGTGCTTTCAAAAGACAACTTAAGCCAACTACATGGTCATCTCTCACAACTATTCTTTTTTCATAAAACAAAAAAAAAAACAAAACAAAACAAAACAAAAACAAAAACAAAAACAAAAACAAAAATGCTCTTTGATTTGTCATTTTGACATAGTTGACTAAACACCCAAAGGCAAGTCTTGGCTGGAGGTATATCAAGAAGCACGGACACTTCTAAAGAGGTGGTGTACACCGACACGACAATGACACTAGTCAAACACATCCAAATATGTCCAACTATTTTTAAATTTTTTTAGAACTTGGACACAATTCAGACACTTGTAAAACACGTCTATTGTTTAAACACACATAAAACACATTACAAGTTTGAATAAAATCACTTGAAATCCAACAATAATAATAAAAATAAAAATAAAAACAAAGTAAATTCATACCTATTCTCATCTTTTTTAGACTTTAAAAACTATTATCTCTGAATTGATTATTAACATATATGACATATACTAAAGGTTTATTCTTATGTATGCCATACAATAAATATATAAAATTATATATTTTGCATATGTCCCCCACGTGATGTGTCCTTTATTTTTTTGAAAAATTCTGTGTTAGTGTATCGATGTTGTGTCCGTCTCCTGCCACATGCCCGTTTCTGTACTTCTTAGAAGGTATGTGTTCAAGTGTCAAATTTATCTAATATTCATATCCAAGGATACCAGGACAAGGCTAGAGGTCATATTTATAAAATATTTCTTTTATTTGTTATGATAAAATGAAGTTTACAAACTAACATACAACATTTTATGCATATAATGGGAGTATTGTGCATAGTAAACCTGACTACTTATCCATACCTGATGGGTGCATCTCTAAATAAGCATGTTGGTCACACATCATATACGGTATACCCTTACTCAAGTGTTCAGTGTCTTAACACAGATACGTCAAAAATTTAGAAGAGGCCACCTACCATACCAAATAGTCACATGTACACCACATAAAAAATCACAAATTATTCAAGCTCACATAAATATATGGTTGCTCAACCCTCAACTGAACCAGAGAATGTATGAATATTGTTGAAAAATGAAGCGATAGAACACATGCTATATTCTTTCAACACTCTCACTGCTAATGAGCTGAATCCACACCGAGGAAGATCAGGCACTCCTTTCATGTAAATCGTCACAGGGTTGTCATTGACATCCTGCCATAGAAGCCAAAAGCTATCAATAAAACAAGACTAAAACTTTAATCTGGATAATTAGAGAGAGAGAGAGAAAACAAGGCTTAAGACTCAATATCTAATGTGAAAGGTACAGATGACTACTGTCAACCTGCTCAACAATGTCCTTCAAAGAAAGGTCAGAATTCTGAAGCTTATTAGTGGGCATGAAGTCCTCATGTGTGTCAGGATAATTTGGCACTGTAGTTGAGTATCGCATCCCATGGTGGTTAAAGGATCCAGCTGTCTACCAACAATTAAAGCAAAAATATTAGCAATATCATTTCTATGATCAATCATTAAGAATGATTTGCTCTAAACAGGAGACCAGGCCACACACTTGCTGCTTAAAATTTCAAGAAAGCCTTTTTTTGGTCAATTTTTCTGAGTGTAGTTTAGCAATTAAAGCATTTTTTGTTTGCAGTTTATGATTAAGGATCCAAGAAATCTAGAACTAAATGGTTTATCTTAAAAACCAAGTGGTTTCTTTGCTGTAGGAAGAGTGCATGGAAAGTCTCCTACATAAGTGAGTCTCTTAGCAAGTCCAAAATTAATGTGCAGCAGCAGCAGAGTGCTACAGTCCTAATGCAAAAAATTAACATCGTGTGATTGATAAGTTGGTAAAAATATGTAAGATAAGATTTTAAGGTTTGTATGGGGTGACTAAAGGGTAAGGGTAAGAAATGAAAGGAAAGGATTTTGGTGCCTGTTTTGGGTGATGTGTACAGTACCATGCTAAATTTTGACTCTTTTGTGTGCAATATTTGTAGAATGATAAAGGGCTGACTTGAGGTGGTTTGAAGGGTTTATTGATATAAAATAAAGTTCAATCAAGATTTAGAAAGAAGGTTCAATCAGATCTGGTTAAGGGGGTATTAGATGCTAAAAGTGTAAAAAGATTTAAGAAAAATGAGGAAAACAAAATTCTAGGCACCACACCTAGATACCATATCGCAATTTGCATCACATGATCACACAATACCAAAAGAGTTACAAAAACTTCCACAAAATTCTCCAAAGCGCATTCTCCATTGAATAGGAGAGTTCCTTAGGAGCTGAAGGTCGTACATCTCTACAAGTTTTGGTTTATATATATGAGTGAGTTGTGTTTTATTATTATCAATGTCTGCCATGCTTGCTATCATCCATAAATCTATTAAGGGTTCCTAATCGGAACCAAATTCTCTTAGGCCTTTTTTGATTAACAGGATTAATAGTAAAATGATTAATAATCCTATGAATTAATGTAAAATTAGGTATCAAATAAAATTAGTGAGGTAACAATTTATTATGTATTCATTTTATTTTATTTTTCTTTCATATTTGAAATTATGATCCCTAGCCCCTCTCAATGTTAAAAATTCATTGATTTCGTCGAATTAAATGACCTCTGTACATGTAATTTGATTAATAAAATTTGCAATCAAATATAAGGTTGTGAATCCATGAATTAACAATTTCAATCATATGCTATAATTCTACTAATCAAACATGCTCTTGTAGTTTCATGGGAGATGAGGATTGTCAAGGAGGAAGAGAGAGGGGGTCACCAATGAAGAAAAGGATTTGCAGTAGGGGATGGGAACCGGGGGAGGTGACTGACGGGGGAGCTACCAAAGGAAGGTTGTTGGAGTGGGGGTCCAAAGGGTAGAGTTAGAATAATGGTGGCTGCTCGTTAGTCCACTTCCAATATTTTCTGTATAAAAAGATGACTAAAAAAAGCCAAATTGTATATTATTTTTTTGGTCCTTGACCTTTTCCCCGTTGATAATAATAATAATAACAATAATACAGTAATAATTTTAATTCTACATTAAACATCACTACTAAAAGGATTCAGATGAAATATAATTTTGCTCCTTAAACTGTCGCCATAAAGAGGTTGAAAGCAGATTCCAATCAAGGCGCAGAGGAGTTCTGGAATGAGGTCAAGATGTTGTCTAAGCTCCGACACACTCATCTTGTTGCTCTGATCGGCCTATGCAGCGACTGCCAAGAAATGATCCTTGTTTACGAATACATGGCTCGTGGGACCCTAGCCGATCATCTCTATAAAACAAGTAGAAACCAAACTGAAATTACTGCTTTGCATCGGTGCAGCACGAGGGTTAGACTACCTTTGGTGTGGTGTTGTTGGAAGTGCTCTGTGGGAGGCCGCCAGTGGATAAAAGACTCGAGGAGAAGGAAATTAGTTTAATCCTTTGGGCTCAACGACACATTAAAAAGGGAAAGGTTGATCGAATCATTGATCCCTCAGTGATTGGGCAAATAACACCCCAAAGTCTAAAGTACTTTGTAGAAGTTGCCTACAATTGTTTACATACTGGTTCAAAGGAAAGGCCTACAATGGCTGAAGTGGTGGGGACTCTTGATCTTGCATTGTTGTCACAACGTAAAGGACGATCAGGGGGAATAATCGGAAAGGTTCTTCAGGGTATTGCAACTGTGCCTAAAGGTATGAATCGTTGGTGGAGGGAGAGAAAGGAGAATGGTTTTAAGAATGGACCATCAAATGATTCATTTTGGGAAACACTTCCAGATAGTGTCACCCAACAACTCCGTCGCTTCTCACTAGCTGATAGTCGAGCAGCCACAAATGATTTCAGTGAGGATCGTTTGATCAGAGAAGGTGGGCTTTGCAAGGTGTACGAAGGGTATTTGGATGGGGAAACTGGTATTGTTGCGCTCAAAAGGTTCGAGGAGTTGGAATCATTGCATCTCTGGGAACAAGCTAGGGTTGAGATTGAGGTACACTCCCTACTCGACAGTCACCCCCACATAGTCTCTCTAATTGGATTCTACAATGAGAAACCAGAGTTAATCGGCGTGTATGATTACATGACAAATGGATCCTTGGAAGATCATTTATTCAACATAAACAGCGATCCACCTTTGTGGAAAGAGCGACTCAAGATTTGCATTGGTGTAGCAAGAGGACTACAACATCTCCATTCGAGTGTGAAGCATAGAGTTATCCACTGCAACGTAAAGCCATCCAATATTCTGTTGGACTAGAATTGGGTTGCAAAAGTTTCTGGTTTTGAATTCTCTAAACTAATACCCAATGACATTGTAAATGAATCAATTACAGTTTCATGGGTTTGTGGCACTTATTTATATATGGCACCAGAGTACGCCATACATAGAAAATTATTAACAAAATCTGACGTATATTCATTTGGTATGGTGTTGTTGGAATTATTGTGTGCCAAGAAGTTACGGACTTTTAGCCCGTATGAAGGTGGCGAGTACCCCCTTGACCGTTGGTTCAAAGTAGCTGCAAAAGAGGAACCATTGATCAAGTCATTGATCCATATCTGATTGGGAAAATAGCACCAGAATGCTTCAAGGAGTTTGTCAAGATTGCATTGAGTTGTATTCTTTTTCAGGTAATCCAACGACCCTCGATGGATGATGTGGTAACGAGTCTCCAGTTAGCATTGCAATTGCAGGAAACTTGGGAGACTCGTATCAAGATTGGTGTTGAGTTATCTATGACCGAACCTAGTTCTTACAACAACGTCTTCTCTATTGATGAACGGAGAAACTTCTTCTCTAGTGATCATGTTCTAACTTTAAATTCTGATGTAGGATGGAGTGGATCAATATCTGACTCGGATTTTGATGAGTTAATCCGTTAGCAAAGAGTCCATGCATCTCTGTAAGAGAGCTTGAATTTGGTTCTTTTCACTTGTGTATATGTATGTCTTTGTTTCTCATGTGTGTTTAGGATCTTTTTTATATTTGTTAAGTTTATTTATACTAGTGGTTATGTTGGACAATTTTTTCATACTTGAATGTTTTGATGAGCTAAAAATGTCAGCATCAGTGGCACTAATAAATTGATAATCATTAAAGAGAAGAAATAACCATAATTTTATGGACATCATATTTTATCCCAAAAAAAAAAAAATTAACAATGCACCAATAGAATCTACCTACAAAATTCTTGAAACTATACACACTCCTAAAAGATACATATGGTATGCATTAAAAATTTATGTCACAAAGATTTATAACTTCTATGAATTTGGATCATAACCAAAGCCAAAGTGATTCACTACAAAAGCACCACAAAAACTCCATAACAAAGGCCGTTTCAACTCATAATAAAACACCACAAAGCCTCATAATCAAAATCACTTCAATTCCCAACCAAATCCCACAAAGCCTCGTAACCAAACACACATTGAAAACTACATTTGTAATCAAGAATTAATCGTACTTACAAAACTCTTAATCAACTCAATGTAAATAAATAAAGCACAATTTTTTTTCCCCCGATTTTCATTATTCTTCATAAATTTTTCTACAAATTCAAAAAGTCAAACACAACTTAAAAATATCTCACAACAAAAACAACTTACTTTTTTTTTAATTAAAAAAAGGCATTATTATAGTAACTAAAGAGTGTGTTTGTTTGGACGGATTGGATAAGGGGAGATTGTAAGCCACCGGACTGTTAGTCCTAGGATACATTGTCCCCAAATTATTTGGTTGGACTGAATTTGTATCCTATGTTTGTTTAGTCATGGGATTAGATGCCTGGATTAGACTATTTTATTAAATCCTATGTTTATTTAGGATATTATGGAAAATAATAAATGCTCAAAAGACTATTTTACCCTTTTAAATTATTTACTAAATAATAGGATATTAAATCTGAATTATAAATTTTATTTTATTTTTTTACTAGAACTTTTAAAAAATTAAATAAATAGAATATTAATTAAAATTACATAAGTTTATTTTAATTTGCAGTTGAGATTTTTAAATTTTATTTTACTTTACTAAGTATAATTAATACGATATTATTAAAATAAATAATTTAATAAAGTATAAATAATTTATTAAGTATAATAGTATAAATAATTTAATAAATAAATTAAGTATAAACAATTTAATAAATAAATTTTGAAAAAGATATTAAATAGTGGACGGTCAAAAATGTAATTTCATTATCTAATCCATGGGATGAGTTATCCTATGGATTATATCCCACCCCCATGGGATAGAATAATCTCATAGATTTGAGATTCATAGTCCGGTACAAAAAATTTCAATCATACAAGGAATTATTAGTCCGAATGAACTATTAATCCTATCTCATACTTAAATCCTTCCAAACCAACACCACCAGAGTAAGGCCACAAGGTCGGTAAAAGTGTGGTCCATCTGCATCTAGTGTGGCTTCCACCATCATCCTTTTAAAAAGTTTGGATTCTCCATTTCCATTGTAAGTGCTTCATAGTGAGAAGGAACAAAGTAAAGCCACGGAAACAAGCCCTACCATTATACCTCTCCATCTCTACTTTCTTCTACTCCTTTGCCTTCTTTGTCTTGATGTTTCTCTCTCTATGACCAGTGATGCAATTGTACAATGCAACGGATCGATAATAGAATGTAATATCAACTTGGAGATGGTGATGGAGTCAAAGGTAAGCCGAAGGTTTCTGGAGACAAAGAAGTACATATCACCAGGAGCTTTAAAGAAAAATCAACCAGTATGCAATGGTGGTGCAAGTGGTGAAGCTTACAGTAAGACTAGTGGTTGTCTTCCACCACAATCTAACCCTTATAGTAGAGGTTGCTCCAAATATTATCGTTGTAGGGGTGATTCATGATCCACCAAGGTTGGCCTTGTGTAGAAGCGCACAAAATCATTGATAAAAGCCCCAATTTTTACTCTTAAATGGAATAAAATCATCCTTTTAATCCTCATTCAAATGAGGGTCTCTATTCAAGTCCAACATCCAAAGAGCCATTTTTTACATTTAGCAAGATAAGAATGGAATCTAAAATTCAAGATTGAACACATTAGACATGGTATTCATTGAAAGTGATATATAGATGATTTTTTTTTTTTTTTTTGAACAAATATATAGATGAGTTTCATAGAAATTTTTCACTGGATCTAGTTCATTTTTATTACGACTTTGGATTTTGTTTTTGGCTTTTTTTTTCTTGTTATAAACTAGATTTTGCTAAATTATGAAACAAGACCACATTTTATCTTTTTAAGTTTTTATAATGATTTCTTCGGATCTTAATGTACGAAAGCAAATTTTAGTATATAATTTAAGTAATTATATATACAAGTAAATTTTCTGTGATGTGAGTACTTGTTATTCACTCACAATTTTTTCAAATTTTTTTTTAATGAATATGTATGAAGAATCCATCATAAAAGCTTGCTTAGGAACGAAAAAGCTCATGCTGGCAATACCCATGTTGCATCCCACTTTTGGATCAAGTTGACATTGACATTAGTTGATCTCATTTTTCATATCAAGTAAATGGACAGAAGGTTCATACCATGTAACTCAACTTTTGAAAAACATTTGATGAATAATAAGTATTTTAAAAGTTGTGAGACCTTCATACAAAATCAAACTAAAATCTAAATCAAATTAAGTTTTATGTTCCAATCAAGTAGGATCAACTATATAAATCTTCTTTCACCATTTGATCTATCTCATATTAGGATTTGTATCTAATAGGGATTTTTGTGTTGATTGCTAGGTTACTTAACAATTTAGTTGTATTCTCAGGTTGCTTGGTAGGTTAAATCAGTAAAAAGGAAGATTTTAAATTTAGCATTCTTTTATATCATTTTACTTAATTAGAGGGCCAAAAAAATATGAATAATTAGTGTAACATTTAACCATAAGAACTTATCAAAGGATAGTTCCTAACATAAGTTTGTTAACCTAGATTAAAAACTGTTTGGGAGATTTAAAAGTCTTTTAAAATTATCATCTATTGTCAGATGGCTTCACCCTTATATTTAAGATGCGCAAGGGTGTCAATGGTGTGTTTAGCCGTTAGGTAAATTTTTTTTTTTTTTTTCAATCTTTAAAACATCATCTTTCATTCTATGCATCCAATCTCTATAAATTTGATATTTATGAAATTTATTTATCGAGATCAAACAAATAAGATTCATACTGAATAAGAAATTATGTAAAAATAAAATTAAAAAACTGAGAAATTACTCAAAACTATGAAATTTCTCAATTCAAATTAAAACCGTGAAACTTTACAATTGCAAAACATGAGAAATTTCTCAATACTACTAAACTTCCTCCAATTCACAATTTTTTGCAGTTGACAAGAAAAAAATGGGTCAAACACCACTTGATAAGTCTCCAGTATGTCATCCAATGCTTTGCTAACTTCATCCTATGAGTAGCGACTGTCAGATTCAAGCTTGTTCAGCTTATCAACAACCTGTGGTGGCACGTGTATGGGCTTTTCTTGGTGTTGTTGCTCATGTAGACTCTTGTGTTAGTGGCAAAAACAACTGGATGGCAATATATGATACGGATTGACTACCTCAATTTGTTTAGGACATGATGGCAAAGGTATTCAATATGCTAGTTTACCTCAAAACCACAGCTCTCGCGATATGCACATCATGATATTGACAACATAATGTGCTAGTTGTGCAACAGAAGATAAGCATCAGCAACGACCTCAATTCCTTTTAGGACAAGATGGGAAAGTTATTCAATGTGCTAGTTCATCATAACACAAATCTCGCAAACCTTGCAAGATTCCAATTACCATAGACAAATAGCAAGGTTGTTAGTGACTAAGGGTTGTTTTGCACAGGTTATCTAAGTTGCTTATATCTTTTGATGCAACTTTTGTTTACAACTTATAATGTAAAAATAACTTGAATAAGTTAAAAAAAAGTTAATTATCTGAAAGTTGGGAGAAGAGTGCTTTTGACTTCCTACTTTCTAATTATCAACTTTTAACTTACAATAAACTGCACCAAACAAGCCCTAAGAATTTTAATAGGTGAGGGACTGCCTTTTGTCAACTTGGAATGAAGGGACCAAAACAAGGTAATACACATTTGATTTGCATTAGCATGATATACCAATGAGTATTTTGGTCATTTGGTTACACTTGGGACTTCACACGCTAAAAACTTGAGGTGAAACTTAGGCCTCGTTTGGAAACTTGACTATTTTAGTTGACTTTTTAATTTTTTGAGAAAAAAAATAATAATAATTTGAGTTTGAAATGATTTGTAGATTTTTTTTTTTTTTTTTTGTAGTTTAATAGATGATTTTGAGAGAAAAAATGATTATTGATGTGTAAGATGTAATATTTTGTCTTATTAACTATTTTAACTTTTTTGTTTCTATATTGGCTATTTTAGTCAAAAAAGTTGCTCCCACATAGGGCCTTAATGTTATATGAGTACATTATATAAGAACTTCATTTAAAATCCCAAAAAACACATTAAAAGTATCAATATTCACAGTTCCGTTTTCTCCTTTAACCTCTCACAATATAAGTTTGAATACCATTACTAGAAAAAAAAATAGTACCCTATAAGATAAAGTGAGATACGGCCATTCCATGTACCATATTGCTTTGTCATATAAAATGGCAACATTGGCTGACAAAGGGTGGCGAGAGCAAGACAAGAAATCAATCAATCTACCACAAATTTCTTTATTTTAATAGATATCCTCGCCCATTTTTTTTGTCCAACCTAGAATCAAATCTATGTCTTTATGTTGGGTGTCTTTTATTTCTCCTAGTTATCAACCGAAGACGTGTCTTGTTGTCTGCATCTACTTCTAACTCAAGAACACATTCGCCAGAGGGGGGCCCTCTTCCT